GGTATCGATATCGGTTATCGGCTACATGAGTTTTAAAATATCGGATATCGGCCTAAATCCCGATATCGTGCGTCCCTACTTTCCACCCCTGTTCAGAACGATGCAACCTGTTGTTTCAGGACCACAGACGATGACCCCACAACCCAAAGGAAAGTCAAACTGCTGCTCGACAACATCAGAAAACTCAAATGGAAAACTGTGGAGGGTGTGGAGGAGGAGGAGAAAGTGAGTTGTTTACTGATCTGCAGGATTTATGTCACTTTTCACACTGTTTATTAGATTTTTCTCTTTTTCGTTATTCTGTAGGCGTCTGCAGCGGGAATAAAGGTACTGCAGGAGAAACAGGTGACTCTGGAGAAACAAGTGTCTCATCTGAAGCAAAAACTAGACATTGAGATTAAGGTACAGCATCATTCGCCTTGGTAATGTGTTACTTTGGTTATATTTTCTTAAATGGGATCCTTATTAATGTGTTTGCAGAATGAAATGACTTTAGCCAAGGCATTTGAAAAAGCAAGGACTGAGAAGAAGAAACTTCAGGAGGAGTTGAACAAAAGTCAGACGGAGCTCCAGAAACTGAGAGGAAAACTGGGTGAAATTGAGAGAGACCTTCAGTCCACCAAACAGGAGTAAGGAGCTGAACTTCAACACTCAGCAGTGGCGGTTCTAGACCAAATGTACCAGGGGGCCAGAAGGGGGCCATCCTGTTTTTATGGGAGCACAAAAAAATAAAAAACAGGGAAAGGGTTTCAAATAAGTGAAGTGACATTTCTATTCAATTAGGTTTAATTAAAATGTCCTATTAGGTCAATGTAATACATATGTAAATATAAAATTACTGTTTTCTATAAAATCTGATTTAGAACTCAAGAAAAACTGATAAATTCAGCTGTAAAAATTGAGCAATTTGTTTAAAAAAAAACATTTAGCAGATGAAAACTTGGATCCTATCTCACTACCACTGAAACCATCACCTTAATGTTTTTAAATAATCAGTAAAACAGAATTTGCAAAGAAAAAAACAATGAAATAGATCCAAAGCTATCAGTTACAATGTCTGTTCCAGCGCAGATCAGCACTAGAATTTCTATGAATATTATGTCTTCAGTAAAGGGGACATGATCCACAGGGGCACTGGCCCCCGTTGGCCCCTGTCTAGAACCGCCCATGACACTCACAGAATTTAAATGATTTTATTTTGTTTGTAAACTTATAAGGGCAGCTTTCCTCTTCTGTTTATGGTTTATATAATTAAACCAAATTGAAATGAACTGCTTTCAGAGATAGATGCTAGAGTGAGCAGAGAGAGAGAGAGCGTTTATGTTGGGTTAGATGTAAAAGTAAAGTTTATCTTAAAGCTGCACAAGATATCTAAAATTTATCTCTTAATGTACGGCTGAAAACAATTAATGAGAATAATCAATTATTGAAATAATCGTCAAGTAATTAAATAATCGATTCATAGTTAACTGGAGTATAGAGACTCTAAAATGAGTCGACAGCTGACAGAGAGACCCACATTGAGCACACTGCAAAAAATATAAATCTAGATAAGTCATTTTTTCTTAAAATAAGTGCATTTGTTCTTGAATTGAGGAGGTAAAAGAGACATTTTGCCAATGAAACAAGACAATTTACATTTAAAATAAGAAAACACAATCGCATTGTTTTATTTCAAGTGCATATTATGTAATTAT